CAAACACCACAACTGTACCAAGAATCCAAACTTTGCATCTTTCTGCCTTTTAAAACATACCCAATTGGAAAATAGCATTGAAACCAAATTTTATCACCCAAATAAGCTTTTAGCAATGCGGAACACATGTTCATCTCACCCACTTTACCATCATGGCCTGAGCGATTCACAGGGAAGGTCATTAGCTCCCAGTGGCCAGGGCTGGCCCTCGATTTCAGCAGGAGGAGGCGGTGCTGAAGAGTGCAAGCTAGGGAAGAAGAAATCTCATGTGGGACCTTTGTAGCTGTGTGCAGCTGGGGCCCCTGCTCCCCGCATCGTAGACTTCTGTGCAGAGCAGGCGTGAAGTCTGTTGTTATTATCGTTAAGTAACGTCCAAGGAGGTTGCCATCAACATGTCAGTGTACAAGCACAGCGCATCTGATTGATGTCACCCTCTCATCGTTCTCCCCCATCCCTCCCAACGCTACCCCTCTGGTCAGTTTTTCATTTCATAGGAGGCCAATTTCTGGCCTGGCAGGAGGCTTGTGTTGGCCAGTGACAAGGATGGGGGTGGCATGTGACTAGAACTAGAACATGGCTGGCCATGCGTGCTTGTACTCAGAGCACTGGGGTTGGGGTGCACATCAGAAGCAATGTCTGCCACAGGAGTCCCAGGGGGGCTGGGCAGGCATGACCAGCGCCAGGTCTAAATTTGTGGAAGACCCTGCCCAGACCTCCACCATGAGGAGCAGCGGTTTGTTCAAAACCCTCCCGGCCCCACACCCGTCTTTATGTCCTTCCCTACAAAGCCCTGCCCACGGCTGGCCCTCCACTGACTTTTCATTTAGGCTATGGTTCTTTCTGAGATTCGTGCTCTTCACTCAGAGCCAGACTTGTCCCCTGTGCCCTGAAAGCCAGCCCCTGGCTCTCCTGGCCCTTTAAGTAGCAGCACCTGTCCAGCACACAGCTGCAGTCCTGCAGTGACCACCCGGCGTCCAGTGTCACGCTGGCCCTAAGAAGGGGACAGCAGGTGGCGGTGAAGTAGGTTATGCCTAGAAGCCTGAAACCTGACAGAAATAAAGGCAATTTGCCCCCAAGGACAAAGGTCCCTGACCCCACAACTGTCCTTTGCATAGTGGGTTTTGAAAAAAAAAAAGCAACTAAATTATTAGCTCAGCAGGTTCTGGGAGAAAAAAGAAAAATGTTGCGTCCACCCAGGATTCCAGGACATAAGTCTAGGTTTTCTGATAATGCTCATATTCCCTTCTTGTTTTCAGTCCTGTGAATGCTTCGGAAAGAAAACACAAATATATCGCACATTGTTTGTCCAAAAGCATGCCGTTTTTACCTTTAAATGAGGACCTCTGGGTGTCTCGGGCTGCACGATTAGGGATGTCTATACCCCTGCACTTGCTGGGTTCTGCAATCAAGACCCCTGCAATTTGGCTCATCATTGCGCCATCCTTAGTGTTCTTGCTGATTGGGATACAACAATGGTGGTTCATGGGAGAATCCCAGGACTCCTGGGCTTGTCCTTCAGGCCTCCTTGCTTGGGGAGTCTGGCCCAGAAAAGGACCCCACACAGCAAAGGAACTGCAGTGTGCCTGGGGACCTCCACCCCCCCTTCTACACTCACACCTCTGCACCCACACCTGTCAACCCCACTGGGTAGGCCCGGACCCCAGGACTGGAGCTAGGCAGGGTGTGACAGGGGGACCCCTAATTTCGGCACTCTTGATGAGCTGTGTTTATGAAACCAGGACTGGAGGTGTGGTTCAGGTGGTAGACGGCCAGGCTGTGAGCAGAAACAAGCCAGACCCTGAGTTCAGATAACTTATAATGAGAGAGACAGAGACAGGGAGGAGATAGAGAGGGAGAGAGAGGGAGGGGGACGGAGAGGAGGCACAGGATTTCCTAGACCTCATCAGTTTCAGTTTTGTTTGTTGGCCTGCTGCTCCTGGGCAGTGGAGTTTAGGTTTCCCAGACTTTCATTTCTCCCTCAGTGGAGCTGGAGGGGAAGGGGGAGGGGGCGGAGGCGGGGCCGGGGCGGGGCCTTGTGGAGAGAGCTATTGCCTTCAAGAGCCGGGGGCGGGGCGGGGGCGAGGCCGGGGCGGGGCCTGGCGGGGAGCAGGAGCAGAGAAGCTGTTGCCTTCAAGAGCCGGGGGCGGGGCCGGGGCGGGGCCTGGTGGAGAGGAGCAGTCTGTTGCCTTCAAGAGCCGGGGGCGGGGCCGGGGCGGGGCCAGGCAGGGAGCTGGAGTAGAGAAGCTATTGCCTTCAAGAGCCGGGGGCGGGGTCGGGGCGGGGCCCGGCGGGCCAGTTGAAAAGCCCTGCCCGCCCGGCTCCCCTCAGAATGCTGCCCCTCAGCTGTCCGCCCCGGACGGGTGAGTGAGGCCCCTTGGCGCCAGGCACTGGAGGCTTCTAGGCCTGGGAAGGGCGATGCGGGTGCCAAGGCTGGCGAGCCTGGGTGGGCTCAGACCCGCCTGAGGGCGAAGGGGCGGTGCGGTAGCAGCTCTGGGCCTGAAGCTGCCCTCGAGGCTGGGGTGGGGCCGCCCGCCTGGACCCGCCTCTCTGGGTCCCTCCCCGCCGCGCGCGGCGCCTGCCTGGCCGGTCCCGGAGCCTTCGGAGAGGGGTCCGAGGGGCTTCGGGACGGCTGGGGGCCCGGCCGGGGAGGAAGCAGGGCGGAGGCACGGAAATGCCTCCTGCTGCTGCCCTCCCAGAGGGAGAGGCTTCTCTGAGGTGCGAGCTGGGCCGCAGCTTTCCCTCCATGCTAGGGCCCGGATGGTGTGCGGGGTGAGGGGAGGAGGTCAGTGCCCTCAGTCCATGCTAGGACCCCGATGGTATAGGGTGTGAGGGGGAGGGGGTCGCTGCCCTCAGTCCATGCTAGGACCCCGATGGTGTGGGGTGTGAGGGGGAGGGGGTCGCTGCCCTCAGTCCATGTTAGAACCCGGATGGTGTGCGGGGTGAGGGGAGGAGGTCACTGCCCTCAGTCCATGCTAGGACCCAGATGGTGTAGGGTGTGAGGGGGAGGGGGTCGCTGCCCTCAGTCCATGCTAGGACCCGGATGGTGTGGGGGGTGAGGGGAGGGGCTCGCTGCCCTCAGTCCATGCTAGGACCCCGATGGTGTGGGGGGTGTGGGGGGAGGGGGTCGCTGCTTTCAGTCCATGCTAGGACCCCGATGGTGTGGGGGGTGTGAGGGGAGGGGGTCACTGCCCTCAGTCCATGCTAGGACCCCGATGGTGTGGGAGGTGTGGGGGGAGGGGGTCGCTGCCCTCAGTCCATGCTAGGACACGGGGAGGATGTGGGGTGTGGCATGGAGGGAGTCAGGGCCTTCCTGAAGTATGTCAGGAGCTCAGAGGGTGATGAACCTGCTGTCTCCCCTCCTATGCGATTCTCCAAGTTGGTCAAATTGTGACTCACAGTTGGGGGATCAGGATCACAGGATGCTAACTCCCATTGTTAGCCCATAAGTTTCCCAGAACAGCTCAGGGAGTTACCACTTCTTTGCTTTGCAGTTCCACTGCTGGCCTGCACCACTCTGACTGCAGCACCCCTTCCCTCCTTGGGAGCCTCCCTCTGGAGCCTCAATCAGATGGGGGAGGCAGTGTTGGGGGGGTGAGCTGCAGGAGGTTCTTCTGCTCCTAAACACTGAAATGGCAGGGCATTGAAGTCAGCACAGAGCAGGAGAAAAGGGCAGGTGAGTCCTCCAGTGCTGTTTTGCCCTTAGACTGTCCCCCTTAGGGAAAGTTCCAGGCCCTTGGTGGGGCTGGACAGGAAGTGGGGTGGGACAATACATGTCCCACCTGCTCCTGTTCTGGTCATGGCTGAGCAAGCATCCTCACTGTGTAAAGCACCGCAGGGGCTTCCTGAGGCTGCCCACCCCACCACGGGGACCAGTGTCCAGCAAGGGCAGAGGGTGGGTGCGTGTTCCCTACAGTCCTCATCTTGCCAGCTCCCAGTGCCTGGCTCTGCAGTGGAGAGGCACCTCCTCCCACCACCCACCCACCCACCCACAAGCACTGCAGGAGCCTGAGTAGAACCCAGACGTGCCCTTGGTGAACTGCAAAGTGCTAAGGGCAGTGGGCTCTTCCCTCTTGCTAACCATGACCATGAGATGCGGCATAGCCACTGGAGTGCATGCTAGGCTCTGGACTGTGGGGTCTTCAGAGGAGAGGAAAGAGCACTAGGAAGGAGAAGGCTGGGAAGGGGTCTGCCTCTTCTCAGGCTGCTCATTGAATCGGAAAGGGGAAACATTGCAGGAGTGATCTGAGCTAATGGCTAGGAGGTGATGGCCATAAGAGTCCAATGGTGGCCTTGTTCACGCAGTTCCCTGAGCAGAGCAGCTGGACTGCAGTGACTGGAGGGGCAGGCCTCCCTGCTGCCGAGACTCCCTGGGCACAGATGTGACTATAGAAAGATGTGACCTGAGTTCCTGACAGACAAGAGTCAGGAATTATCCTCCAGGGACTCTCACTTGATGAGACAAAGCACAGGGTGGACTCCCATACTCCAGTTTTACCTGGCCAAGTGGAACCATAATCCTGGGTGCAAGCCTTTGAAATGGGTCACTTTAGGCAAGGTGCTATGTATGGTGGGACTGTCATCCTTGCTACTCAGGGGGCTGAGACCTGAGGGTTGTGTTTCAAAACCAGTCAAGAAGGGAAATCCAAGGGACACATATCTCCAGTGAACTAGTAAAAAGCTGAAAATGGAGCTATGGCTGAAGTGGGAATAGCAACAAGGCCCTGTATTCAAACCCGGGACCAGCTGTGTGTATACACGCCCCCCCCCCACACACACAAAAGGTCATCTATTATAGTACCCACCCACCTCCTTGCAAGGGAAAGGGACCCATTCTCCGTTTCTTAACAGAATAATGATGCAAGGACACTGGTCTGGAAGTCAGTAACCTGAGGGCAGGCCAGAGGAAGGCAGGAGGGAGCCACAGGAGAAGGCTTGTGAATGGTCATGAGTGGAGGGCCGAGTGCTCCTGAATACTCATCACCAGAATGTTGTTTTCTCAGGAGCATCACAGCCAGCCTTGAGGCTTGCAGACTTGGTGGCCTTCCACTCTTATACCTCACCCCACGTGCAAGAGGAGCATCAGGCAGAAGATGAGTCCTTCTCCAAAAAAAATCAAAACCAATCATTCAGCCGAAACATCTACCCATCAGTTACTGAATGCAGATGCTGACACATCAAAGGAACATGAGAACACGGTATGTGGCTGTGTGACAGTGTCTCCACAGGGAACTCAGCTGTGTGGTTCTGAGGACTGCTGCCTAAGAGGGTAGCGGAAGAGGGAGTGAGACTCAGCTTTCAAAACTGTAACAGACATGCACTGCTTGTTTCTGTTCACACAGCGAGACCCGGGAACTTGGTATCTGATTGGCAGAGAGGGACCATACCATGTGGGTATAGACAAAGTTTATGAAAACATCAGACACTTATCTAGGGCATAGGGGCAGAGAAGGTAAGTCGGTGGTCAGGGGACAGCCACAGGACAGAAAGTTGACCATCTTGGGGACTGTGGAGAATTAGCAACCTTTAAAGAGTCCTTCAAGGTAACAAAAGAGAAAGCCAGATGCAGGTAGGGCTCCATTAAAAGACACAGGAGTCTTGAGGCTTAGTTCTACACAATTAACTAGGAGGAGCATGAATGGCACTTCCCAAAAACCATGCCCCAGAGTGGCACCAGGTGCAGGACCTTTGCCCTGCATGGAGGAAGGGGGGGCCCCCTCCATCCCCTCAGAGGAATGCATGCTAGCACACACCCTCAGGACACACAGGAACTCAGATGGGGCCTTGCCAGCTGATGGCCTCCTTGTCCTCCAGGGGCATGACACACACCTGGATCTGCCACCCCTTCCCTGGGCTTGGTGAGGAACAACCAAATGACTTTGTGCCATAGCCGAAGGGGCCATCTTGGTCTGGGAAACCAGCAGACACTGATGGCTTCTTGCAGGAGCTAGCTGGCCCCTGAAACCGCTGAGCACTGTGCTGTCCCGTGTCCATCCATGGCTCAGTCTCCTGCTACAAACCCTATGAGTCCTCCCTGTCAGAGCAGCCTCACTGTCCTGTTTGGTGGAAAGCAAACATGGGCTGTGGGATCAACCCACCTTCACTGGGTTCCCACACCGACCTTACCCACTGTCAGTCTTGGGAAATTCTTCCTTCCTTGATCCATTGTTTTTCAGCTCTGAGATGGAACATTTTTCAGGAGCGCTGCCCAATTTTTCATGCCAAGTGGACTGCAGTATTGAAGGTGACAGTATGAGCAGGGGAGCCTGTCTCCCCGTCTAGTCCCTGGTTACCTTTTACTGGTGGTCCCTTCCTACCCCTCTTGCCTGGCTTGTTCCTTCAGATGTGGGACAGGAATAACTCACACCCACTGTGTTAGTCAGCTGTGCAGCACTGTAACAAACTCCTCAGATGACCAGCTTGTAAAGAGAGAAGGTTCATTTGGAAAGAATTCTGAACATTTTCAGGCCATTCCCAGTTGCTCTGCCTTCACAGTTCAGCAAGGTGGGACCATGTGGCTGGGACATAAAAGGGGACAGTGGTCCAAATATCCACCTGCGGGGCTGCCCATGACCAGGCCTTGCCTCTTCATGTCCCTGCGCCTCCCAAGATCGGTTATGGGAGACTACACTTGCATCACTCTGCCCTTGGGGACATCTGAAGTCTCATTGCAGCATGCCCATTTGTGGGAGTTGCTGGTCTTGCCCAGCCTGGGTGACAGGCACTGCTCATCCAACAGCTGCACTGCTGGGCAACAGCAGAACTGAGGTTCTGAAAGCAGTGCCAGGCCTGCAGTGTCAGCACAGGCTGGAAGGGGCTGGAGGTCAGGGCCCACAGCTGGCGCTGGGGCTGCAGCAGACTCTGATCTTAAGGGCAGAAAATGTGTTCCCAAAGAATGTGGTGGAATCAAGGGGTAGCAGAAGAGGGAGAGAGACTCAGCTTTCAACATAGTGCACAGACATGCACTGCTTGACAGCAAAGAGCCATCAATCTGCTAGAGAGATGTAATAAGTTGCCGAGGACAAGGGACTGTCAGTTCATGCTGCATTCAGGTTCTATGTAGAACGGGGCTCAGCTTCAAGGTCCAGAGCTTCTGCAGAGACTGAGCTACAGATGTGCTGGCCTGCCTTGGCAGGAATCTGTGGTGTTCACACACACCTGCTCCTCCATCCTGCCTTCTCTGTGCCCTGCCTTTGAACCCTGCATCACTCAGACAGTGTGTGTTGATGGTCGAATCTTGGTTGTCACAATTCAGGGTGTATGGTGAAAAGCAGTCAGAAGCGTGGCTACACCTGCTAAGAAGCCCGGGACTGCCCTAGTAAGCAATTGTTGGGCCTCATGTAAGCTACTGGCTTGATGTATGTGTTGCACATATTTGTCCCTTTCACTTCTTTTCATTTCTCGATAAGAATTTGAAGTTGGAATTCCAAAACTAAGCATTTCAATTTCTTCATCTTGAAGAAGTGGTCATCTGGGTAACAGCTAAGAAACTTCTGTAACCCATATCTACAGATTGTGTGTGTGTGTGTTTGTGTGGGTTCTGGGGCTTGAACTCAGAACTTGAGCACTGTCCCTTACCTTCTTTTGGTCAAGGCTATTATTCTACCACTTAAGCCACAGCTCTACTACCTGCTTTTTCTGTGATGAATAGGAATCTTATCAAGTTTTCTGCCCAGGTTAGCTTTGAACCACGATACATAAATCTTAGCCTCCTGAGGAGCTAGGATTGCAAATGTGAACCACGAATGCTTGGCTTAGATTTTCTTCTAGTTTTAGGGTTTTACATTTAAATCTGTCTTATTGTGCTAAAACTCCAGGTTGACTTTTTTCATTCCCCTGTGATCTAAAAATGTGAGGAAACAGCAGAGCAGAGGGCTTGGGTTCAAAGGTCAACATGAATAAATAAATAAACAAATGTATCCCTGTTGTTTACAGTCAGGCAGTCCCCTGCCGTGAAGCGTGCTTTGGTCCCTGTACCCATCATTTTGTAGCTGACTTCAGACTCTTGTTTTAATCACTTGTTGTAAGCACATTGTACCTTGCTGTAGCTTCTTGTTTTTTTTTTTTTTTTCCAGTTAAGGGGTAGGTTTATTCAGTAGACCTGCTGGGACCAGGCAAGGTTGGCATTCCACGTGGCTGGGAAAGGCCTGGGAATGAGAGAGAGCTAGGAAAGAGAGAGGAAAGAGCTAGAAAAGAGCAGAGAGAGCTAGAAAAGAGCAGCGAGAAAGTTGCTATAGCTTCTTTTCTGTGTCCTGTGCTTCAAGTTTGCCTCCTGGGCCCTTGGCTGTAGACTGTCGGTGAAGATTGAGTCCTTGTGTGGCTCTTGGTCTGGGCTTTCCAGGCACTCCCACCCCCTCTAGGGCTTCTGTTGTCCCGCACCCTGGGCATTGGGGGAGGGCACAGGGTGCAGCCACAGCTGGTTCTCCATGTTTGCCCCTCCAGGTGGTGGACAACAGCCTCTGTAGGCAGTATGAAGAGAAGGTGCGGCCGTGCATAGACCTCATCGACTCCCTGCGGGCCCTGGGCGTGGAGAAGGACCTGGCCCTGCCCGCCATTGCCGTCATCGGGGACCAGAGCTCTGGCAAGAGCTCTGTGCTGGAGGCCCTGTCGGGAGTGGCCCTGCCCAGGGGCAGTGGTGAGATCCTGCAGCCTTGTTCTTCTGTTAGGGCTTCCCAGGGCAGGTGTGTCCCACTGCAGAAGTAGGTTCTGCCACAGGCCTGGAGACTGCAGTGCAAGATCAAGGCCTGTGTCCCCTGAGGTTGTTCCCCTGGGCTGTCAGAGGCTGGCTTGGGCCCCGCTCTCGGAGGCTCTCCTCTGTGCAGGATCCCAGGACTGACACAGCTGCGCCTCCTCTCATACAGACTGCTCGTAGGGGCTACAGTGACCCTGTCCGACCTCTCAGGACCTCCTTCAGCATCAGTAGCTCCTTTTTTTCCCTTGGTACCTGTATTGCAGCTTGCACCGAGGCCTTGCACTCTTGCTCGAGTCCTTCTCAAGACTGACCCCTACCACTCAATACCTACACTTCTGGCTTTTTAGTGGGTCATTGGTGATAAGAGTCTCTTGCCAGCGTGGGCTTTAAACTGCAATCCTCGGGTATCAGTAAGGTCTGACTTGCTAGGATTACAGAAGAGAGCCCTGGTCCCTGGCTTGGTGGCTTCTTTAGAGCACCAGTGTTCCATCACGGTTGGAGGTGGGGGCAGGCTGCAGAATATGGGGTTGGGAACGCCAGGCCATCCAGACAACGTCTTATCACAGAGTCTCGTGTGGGTGAATGGAAGCTGCAGATTGGTGGAGGTCTGTTTAGGGGATCAAGTTTTCAACCCAGAACTAAGTGTGTATAGGTGGGTGTCTTTCCTGAGCCCCTTTCCAGAGGTGCCAGCCACATAGGGAGATAGATTGGTGCTGTGCTTAGTGGTGCAGCCCAGGAGGACAGTGCAGCATGGAGAGTCTTTGATTCCTGCCTGTGAGCACTCAGCCCTGAGATGGTTTGGGAACAGAGCAGTTTCAGTGCATGGGCAGGATGTGGAAGGAGTTCACAGCGGGTTTATGTCACATGGTGGTTAGGGGCACTGGTGGGATAGCTTGTGTAGGTGGACAGAGAGGGGAAGGGTTCAGTGTGGCTTACACCTGAGGTCACGGTAGATCGCAGGGAAGAAGGTGCTCTGACATGGCAAATGAGCCACAGTGCCCTGGGTGACTGCCCTCCCAAATGCATGAGGCTGAAGTGACCCGGACAGGAGGCCTCCGGCCATCAGAAGGGGAGGCCAGCAAGGCTCCACTTTCAGCAGAGGTTTCAGCCATTGCGCCAAAGCCTCCTAGGGCCTCTGGGAGTGGCACCCAGGACTGACACGCGGCTGGTCTCCTAGGCATCGTGACCAGGTGCCCTCTGGTGCTGCGGCTGAAGAAGCTGGGGCAGGAGGAGGCGTGGAGGGCCAAGATCAGCTACCAGGGCAAGGAAGTGGAGATCACAGATGCTTCCTGTGTGGAAAAAGAAATCAACAAAGGTGAGGGGTCCTGGTTGCCTGGTCCCACATTGGCCCCATGTGGCTGTCCATGTGGCCCTCTGTTGGGGATTTTCCCTGCACATAGGCTTCCTGTCCCTTCACCCTTCAGAGACCAGTGTCTTCAGAACCAACCCCAGATGAATGCTTTGCTCCTTCCTGTTGCAGCTGCTTTCTGAGAATAGCATGGGCTTAAGGGCTAAAGATGGCAGCTCCCCTCCTTCTAGGGCCTGTCAGCTCCCCACAGTTGAAGCAAATAGGACACCAGGGAGGAGCGACGGCCTTCGCTTGCAGCCTTGTCCCAGCCTGGGTGGTGACGCCATCACTGAGCCCCATTGGACCCTGTGACCCTGTCTGAACAGGAAGTGTGGTCGTGTGCATGGTGTAGCTCAGCCTGCGACCCTGTCTGAACAGGAAGTGTGGTCGTGTGCACAGTGCAGGTCAGCCTTGTGACTGGTGCGTCTCAGCAAATGAAATCACAGAGATCAGTCTGAAACATGTGCAGGTGGGGGCGACTCGCTGCTGTGTGTCTTCCACCATGAGGAGAAGACCTCTTCCTCCTGCACAGTCTTCCCCTCTCCAAACACCACATGCTTAAGTTTCAGTCCTTTGGGGAAGGTGCCAATGATGTGACCTGATTCCAGAATCAGGAAAGGAATACTTGCCTTTGTCAAAGGGGAGCACAAATTAGCTAGGACTGCTCTCTTACAGGAAGTTAAATCCTGTCACTTAGCATTACTAGACTGGAAACTGAAAAGCATGGTGTGTGTCATCCGTCACGGCTGAAGAATCAGCAGGTGTGTGTACCTGATGGCAGTGCTTGCTCTGGCTGGTCTGGCTTTTGGAAGCCTAGCAAGGCCTTCTTCAACTCTCTGGGCACTCAGAGGCTTGAGCTGGCCTTCTCTGTCCTGGGTGGACAGACTGGTTGGGAACTATCCATGATGACAGCAGGGATGGGTCTAGGTCCCATTTGAGGCCTAGCCCCTGAGAAGCACCTTCAGTCTTCCCATTGGTTGCTTTGGGTCACACGTGCATCCCGGACTTGACATGCTGGCTCCGTGTTGAAGGAGAAGTGTCAGATGAATGTGGAGAGGAATGTGCAGGCATGAAGGGAACCCACTGTGTTTCAACTCTGTAGTCTTTCCTACCACGGAAGGTTTGGAGCTGCAGGGCACAGGATTGGGCTCCTAGATCCAGAAACAAGTCCCCTGTGCCTTTTCTGTGGTCTCTGTCCACAGTCCCCATGCATGTCAGGAAGAACACAGTCTGGCCTGATGGCCAGTGGAACCCTACCCGTCTCTGCCTGTTCAGCTACTTTCTGGCACTGTGCGTGACTTTTGCACGTGTGCCAGTGAGCAGACCTTAATGTCACAACCGCACATCAGGACGTGGTACTGGGGGGCTTTAGGTGGTGCTCCACATGTCCTTTGGTGTATTGGCACCCTGAGCGCCAGATCAGAACAAGCATTCCAAGAAGCCATTGCAGGTGATGGTAAGAATAGAAAAAAAATGGTGTCCACAGCTGGGTGGTGGTGGCTCACACCTGTAATCTGACTACTCAGGAGACTGAGATCTGAGAATCCCACTTCCAAGCCAGCCCAGGCAGGAATGTCTCTGAATCTCTTATCTCCAATATCTACCAGGAAGTGGTGCTGTGGTGCAATTGGTAGCGCACTCGCCTTGAGCTGAAGAGCTCAGAGACAGTGCGTAGGCCAGAGTTCAAGCCCTACAACAGGCATAAGAGAAAAAAAAAGAAAATTGTGTCCTCTTGGAATGAAAAGAAAGGTCTCTAAGGCCATCATTATGAGGGAAAGGAAGGAAATGACATCTAACAGAACACAAGTGTCCCGTTCCTGCCTAGAGAGTTGATTCCCCTTGTACGTGTCCGTTCCTGGCAAAGGGGTTTCCGCTTGTCTTTGTTCCCCTCTACCTTGCGTGGGGTGTCTGTGTGTGGAAGGCCTCCCAGGTGTCTGCAGATCACTCTGGCCATGGCAGGAGACTGTGAGGTTGACTCTGCTCCTAACGTGCTGGTGTGCAGGACTGGTGGAGTCCTACAGGTACACCCGCTCTCTGACCTCCATGGCTTTCCTCTTCCTCCTACCAGCCCAGATGCTCATTGCGGGGCAAGGGCTGGGCATCAGCGCTGAGCTCATCAGTCTGGAGGTCAGCTCCCCACACGTCCCTGACCTGACTCTGATCGACCTTCCCGGCATCACCAGGGTGGCCGTGGGCGATCAGCCTGCTGACATCGGTTACCAGGTGAGACTCTGTTGTTAAGAAGGGGATGGCCCACTGCCCTAGAGCACCGGTCCTCAGGGCTGCATCTGAACAGATCTCTGGAGGTACCAGTGCGGCCAGTGTGCCCAGTTGTCATTATCACTGCCTGTGGTTTGATAGAGAAGGTGAGGTAAAGGAGCAATCCATGGCCACTTCACAAGGAAACCTCTCCTTCCCCAGTAGCAGGAAGGGTGCTCACCATCTTATCTCTCCCGGGGCCATTCCCAGGCGTCATAGCATGTCATTGCTTGCAGATCAAGCGACTCATCCTGAAATACATCCAGAAGCAGGAGACCATCAACTTGGTGGTGGTCCCCTGCAACGTGGACATCGCCACCACGGAGGCGCTGAGCATGGCCCAGGAAGTGGACCCAGATGGAGACAGAACCATAGGTGCGAAAAAGGAGCGGCTAACAGTGACATGTGGCGTCCAGTGGGACGGGATCCCAGTGGGACGGGGTCCTGGGAGTCCTGTTGGACCGAGCTCAACACCACTGGCGGGCAGGGCATCAGGTGGCCGTAGGAGCAGGTTTGGTGGCCACTGAGGTAGAGGAAGTGAGCTGAGAGGGACTCTGGTTGGATGGACACAAGTGGCCCTGTACGCTTGCCTTCCTGTTGGAAAGGCCCAGGATGCTCACAGAAAGCAACTCCTGTCCTCTGAAGCCACCGAGGTGGACGTAGTGCCAGAGTGCAGGAGGGAGGAAGGGATGTGTGGAGGGAGGTCTCTGGCCTGGTGAAAGGGCTCAGGAAGGCCGGGCTGTGTGTGGAGTCTCAGGTCTCCACCCTAGATGGGGGTGGCTTTGTCATGTGTTTCTTGGGGGCCCTGGCTGCTCTCACTCTTCACTCTTCGTCGGGCTCAGGGGTCTGTGGCCCTGTCTGCTCTCCACCCTTCACCTGGGTCTGGGCTCTGCATATAGGGATTTCTCCAGGGACGGGAGGAAGTTCTGCCATGCTGGTGCCAGGATCCAGTGAGCTGTGATGTAGCGTACGGTGCTGCTTGGGTCCTTCTTGCCACAGATAGAGGTGCTCAGTTGTCAGGTAGCCCCCACCGTGATACTCTACACAGCTCTGACTGCAGGCTCTGGCCCACAGGCATCCTGACCAAGCCCGACCTGGTAGACAAAGGGACGGAAGACAAGGTGGTGGATGTGGTGCACAACCTGGTGTGCAACCTGAAGAAGGGCTACATGATCGTCAAGTGCCGGGGTCAGCAGGACATCCAGCAGCGGCTGAGCCTGTCCGAGGCCCTGCAGAAGGAGCGAGCCTTCTTTGAGGACCACCCCCAATTCAGGTGCGCCCACCCCAAGGGTGCCAGTCCCTCCTGGGGAAATCACAGTCAAAGCAGCTTTTAGGATGTGCTTGAGTGTGAGGACTTGTGTGAGGAGCTGTGTGTGTGTGTGTGTGAGAGAGAGAGAGAGAGAGGGAGAGAGAGAGTAAGAGAGAGAGAGAGAGGGAGAGGGAGAGAGAGAGAAAGAGTGTGAAGGTGGTGTGGGGGTGTATTTATGTGTGTGAGGTATGAATGTGGAGGTGAGGGTGTATATGTGTCAGGGTGTGTCTGAGGGTTTATGTGTGTTTGTGAGGGTGAGGGTAAGTGTTTGTGTGATAGTGAGTGTATAAAAGTTTTGAGCTTCTGTGAACTGTGAGGGGGTAAAGATATGGTTTTGATCTTGTGGATCACTTTTGAACTTGCCTCCAAGAAGAAACAATTTGTATTGTTGACAAAGACAGAAATAATAATGGAGGGAGCGAAGGAGAGACTTGCTGCAGCTCTTAACTAGCCAAGCTGATTGCAAAGAAATAGAGGAGAATGGAGGAAAGGCCAGAAGCCCAGAAACAGTCCCCGGTGCCAGTCCCACCGTGTGATCAGCACAGCATCGCTCTGTGTTTTAACAAAACATCTCTGCTGGGCAGTGTCCACAAGAAATTATATGCTGAAGGAACCAATGCCAAAAGCAAATATCAAGTCCACGTTAAAGCTGCATACCAGTAATAGTCAAGCATTTTGTAAGAACAGTTGGATGACAATTTGCAATTGCAGAACAGATCTGACTTTTCCAACCTTCATTCCAAAAGGTGAAGTTTTTTGAAAGCAGATCATTAATTCGACTTAAAGAGAGTGGGGGCCTGGTGCTGGTGGCGTATTCCTGTGATCTTAGCTGCTCTGGAGGATGAGATGTGAGCATCATGGTCCAAACAAGTCTGGGCAGAAAAGTCTGTAAGATTTGCCTATAGTTAACTGCCGAAGCCTGCCGGCAATGAAAGGGAATCCTGAATTAGAGGGGAGGATGTGGAAAAATAAAGACATAAGACAAAGGATGAGGTCAGAGGTTTGCAGCTCAAGACTACACCATGTTTATTTTTAACTTTCCCTTTTATATACTCTTAGAAGTCAAGAGGTAACATAAGGTTACAATAGTGCAGAAAAACAAAGAAAATTTTAATTAAAAAAAGTGCAGTAAAAACAAGACAAAGTCAACTGGTAGAAAGTAAAACAAACTCTGCAGACATAGCAAAGCAATCCCGGGCACCTGTTGTTTTTCGTGAAAGCCAGTTCCTTGTACGTGCCTTCAAGTGAGCACAGGGGTCAAGCTTTACTGTCGGCTCCCAACAATTAACCACCAAAAAGATGGAAGGGGAGTTGTTCCTCCAGTGGTAGATGACTAGTCTTGAACAAAAAAGCTCCAGGGACAGTGCCTAGGTCCTGATGTCAAGCCCCAGAAACTGCACGTGTGTGTGGGCGCGTGTGTGCGCGCGCACACACTCACACACACACACACACACACACACATACACACACACACACACAAAGTGGGGGAGAGAAAGAAAGTAGGGCACAGTGGTATGTATCTATAATACAGCCCAGTACTCAGGGGCTGAGGCAAGATGACTTTGAGTTAGAAACTAGACATTGCTACACAATAAATCCATGGATAGATGAGGGGATGAATGAACAAACCAATTAATGATGGGTATGTGAATGAATGAAAAAATGGGTGGATGAATGGGTGGCTAGATGAGTGAGTGAATGCATGATGGAGAGATGACGCACAGGTGCATCACAAAGATTTGAGGACTATAACAGGATGCTTGGACATAGTTATAATCTGAGCTGGAAGGTATCCTTCCGGGTGCTGCAGCAATATAAGCTGCTCACCTGTGACTACAATTGTGTAGAGGCCAAGGTGGAACATCTGTTAGGAAGCAGTCCTAAGGCATTCCACTCAACCAGAAGTAACTGGATGGGCCTTGTCAGGGTATCTGAGCCAATAGGCCCCTCTCTTGTGTTCTCTCCAGGGTTCTGCTGGAGGATGGGAAGGCCACGGTGCCCTGCCTGGCAGAAAGGCTGACCTCTGAGCTCATCACTCACATCTGTGTAAGTGTGGGTGGGCCGTGTGTTCTCTGAAAGTAGAATTGAGGGCTGCATCGTTGTGGGACACACATGCTGACAGTGAGGCGTGTGCAGGATCAGGCAGTGTGGAGCATGTGTGGATTGCAGCAGGGGGCATCAGGAGCCCTGCGGCTAGGGTTCAGTGGCCGTCACCCACAAGAATTGGAAGCACTCTGGCTGGGAGCCTGTCACTCCTGGATGTTGGGCTGGTGTTCTGAGTTCTCCAGCATTCCTGTCCACCAGAAGGTGGCAGAGCCTCTAGCCCCATCCCCCAGCCCCCTACTGGGGAGCAGAGAGCATCTGGTGAGGATCTGACCCCTTTGCTCAGTGCCAGAATTCAAAGTCTTCCCATGAGCCAGGAAATCCCCTGCGGGACTTCGGGCTGTCAGCTGTGGTCTCAGCTGCTCAGCAGAGTGAGTTCAGGGCCTCCTTTTCACTGCCAGTGCACTCACAAGTTTTGCACTTTTTGCTATTTTTTTCAGAAATCGCTGCCAACATTGGAAAACCAAATAAAGGAGAGTCATGAAAGAATAACAGAGGAATTACAAAAGTATGGCATGGACATACCAGATGATGATAATGAAAAAACATTCTATCTAATAGAAGTGAGTATTACCTCATGTGATAGTGGCTATCACATCTTCCATGTGGGAGGGGCCGCACATCCTCCGTGTGGGATGCCCTATCACCTTGCTTGTGGACGGGCTCCATGCTCCATGTGGGAGGGGCCACATCATCCTCCATTTGGGAAGATGCAAGTAGGATGACTTCGATCATCCTCCAGGGGAGGAGCCACACATCCTGCATGTAGCAGTTCTATCATCCTGTGTGGGGATGACCATCGGATCTGTCCATGTGGGAGAATCAAATCACTGTCCACATCGGGATCCTTGCCTAGTGACTTTCTGTCTTCATGCTCCCAAATGCTGATCCAAGCACATTCTGCCCACTTAGTGCTAAAGAGGGGGTCAGCTATGGCCAAGGAGTGGTGGGCACATGCAGCAGATGGACTCCATAGAGAGTTCAGTTCTGCTCAGCTCATGGACTCTGCCTTAGGACACAGGAAGCAGGCAGAGGAAGGTGGGGTATCCTGTTGCCAGACCTGCTTCTCTCCCATCATTCCACGGTAGCCCATAAGAGAACAGCAACTCACGTTCCCTCGGTGAACCTTGAACCCTGAGTTTGAAGTACCTCCACTTCTACTGTGGCTTTTCTTCTGCACAGAAAATCAATGCATTTAACCAGGACATCACTGCTTTGATGCAAGGAGAGGAAAATGTGAAGGATAATGAGACGCGGCTATTTACCCAACTCCGAAAACAGTTCCAAGCATGGAGTGCTAAGATAGAAAGTAATTTCAAAAAAGGTGAATGTCTTTGAGGTTGACACAGGTGGGAGAGGAGGCAGAGAATGTGACCCTCACACATGGCCAGTCCAAATGTGAGGTTGATTGAATCTGGTTTGGAAAACCACTTGGCAGTCCCTCAAAAAAGCAAATGTATGCATGGGCCAGCAATTTTCAGGGAAGCACATACTGGGAGGAATTCAGGCCACAATCATTTTCAGCAGCTCTGGGAGGTGGATGGGTCCTGTTGATGCTTGGCCTGATTGGAATGAGAGACACCAGGAGAGGGGTAGAGCAGTCCTCTGGGTGTATTGGAGGGCAATCCCACATGTGCAGGAAAGGAGGCAATCTGTGCAGACAGAAATGAGAGGAGCAGCTGCTGGGCCAGAGAGGCAGGAATGAGAGGGAGTGCTGGGCACAGACACGTGCACAGCCCCGCAGCCCTGGGGTATGCTGAGAGTCCCTGGACTGTCCACGGGTGTGTGAATCCATCTCAAGAAGAGCAATTCCTTTGGTAAACAACGCCACCCACAGAGGGGGCAGCAGGCAGGCAGCCCCAGCTCCCCAGTGCAGGCCAGGCCCCCTCTGACTCTCCAGACTCCACATTGTCTCACACAAAGCAGGTTCTGCTGTGTGAAAAGGAACTGAGCATTTGATCTAGTTAGCAATGGTGCTGTTTCACTCAGAGACCACCAATACGCCTGCTGGTTCTTGCCTAGGTCACTAACTGTTTTTCTCAGCTCAGGCAGTGCCACCTGCACCTCGGGGTCTTTTTTTGCTGCCCTGGGATGGGAGGTTGTGGGGAGAGCATATTGCACAGGGATGCCTTTGCTCCTGTCGAGTCAGACAGGTTTCCTGCAACTCCATACCCACATGTGTTTCTGGAGTGGGTGTTTCTCTTTTCATTTTTTCTCTTCTCCCATCAGAGAGAATACAGTGAGACTGTCCAGAAATTGTTAGTTAAATAATTTAAGGCTATTCTTTCCTGGTGTAGGTTTTGTCACTTTGCATGATGAAATCTGGAAAATTGAATGGCAGTACCGAGGCAGAGAGCTGCCTGGATTTGTGAATTATAAGATGTTCGAGACAATCTTAAAACAGGAGATAAAAGCCCTGGAGGAGCCAGCTGTGGACATGCTGCACAGCGTCACTGGTGAGTGCCTGCTCCTCCTCCTGACATTTTACTGCTGGGGCAGGAAAGTTCGAGCCAAAGTCAGAGCCAAATTGCAGTGTACACTCCAGCTTACTCTCTGTAAAACCACCCGTCTCCAACTCTCTAGCCATCCACCCGGTGCTCAATGGTGTAGCTGTATTTTGACACTGCTTGTCTGAAAAGAATCCCCACCACTTGGTCCAGACTGCCTCCTCAAGCCCCAGGTCATGGTCCTCCTGGCAGGCCACCCCTGCATCTGACCCCTAAATCTCCTTCCCAGGTGTGTCCATCACAGAACCTAGAGCTGACTAGACTGTCAGTTCCTTGTGAGTTCTGGGAGATGGTAAAGGGGCTGGGGTCTTGCATCGCTAGGGAGAGGTGGCATTGGAGACTCTGGCCCAGAGCCAGTCTGAACCAGGTCCATCCTATCCTCATGTCTCCTGTCCTCACCAGAGGCCAGGATGGCAGGGGTGAAAGTCCTGAGCTCACACCCCTGTTTTGGCCCTTGTGACCTCCCATTTGAAGCTACCCTGGAGCCACCAGAGCGCCCTCAGCAGAACAGGAGATGTTCTTGGCATATGTGGATTCTGAGACTCCTGGCATGTGCTCCTTCTGAGACACTGGAGGATTCTGTCTCCTTTCTGCCCCTCCCATTCCCCCTCCTCCTTCATGCTTCTGCTTGGGCTCAACACGCCCCATGTTGCCATCTCTGAGAAGCAAGGTCAAGAACCAGACACCTGTATACACTATCAGCTTCATCCCTGTCCTGAGGGTGATTGTGGGGAAGGTGGTCCACACCCCCTGGCCTGGCACAGAAGGAGCTCAGGTAGCATCCTGGAGAGGAGACCCACTTCACGCCCCCCATGAAACATTGCCACCTGTGCAGGGAGTCCACACTGTCTCCACATTGCCCTCCGCTTTCTAACCTCCTTCTCCAGACTCGAGACTTTCCATTTCAGCCATAAATAATCATTTTTCATGGGTAAGGGAAGCTGAGGAACTCAGAGCTCCCTCAGTAAATTTCACCTTTGCCTTGTGGCTGAATATTGTACACTTATCTTCCAATTGTACTTTGATGAACTCTGCTCCTCTTGTTCAAGGGAAGGTTGTTACTGTTAGCCAAATGAGCTTCCTTCTCTTAGCTTAGCATGTTCCTTCCTCTCTCCACAGCTTACCATGCTCTCTTCCTAGGCAACACTGGGCCTCTATAGCAAAGGCAGTAAACAGTCAGCCTCCAACCCCCTTCACCTCGGGATGGCACTTCTCTGGAGCAGCTACCCCCATAGAAGGCAACAAGAGCCCCTTAGAGTGACCTCAGGTCTGTGCAGCTGGAGGACCCTCATCTACTATTTGGACAGCCGCCATCAATCCTAGTCTACCATGATGAAGCCCCTGGCCCACATGTCCACACTGGGGTCTCCACCTCCTCGCCCCTTCCAGCCCCTCCTAAACCTCCTAGGTTATATAGGTCACCCCAGACAATAGCCGGCGCTGCTTCTCACTTCTACTGGAATCTTGCCGGTCCCTTTCCCAGCAGTAAACCTTTCTTGTTCTCTGTACTGGATGTCTTGGTGGTTCTGGCAAAATCCAAATAACAGTCACACTTAGAGCCTGGTAATCCCAAAACAAAGGTGGTTAAAATTAGTATTTAGCCAGGCACCAGTTGCATGCACCTGTGATACCAGCTACTAAGGAGCCTGAGATCTGAGGATCATGGTTCAAAGCCAGCTTGGGATGGAAAGTCCATGAGATTCTTATATTCAGTTAACTAGCAAAAAGTCACAAGTAGAGCTGTGCTTCAAATGATAGAGTGCTAACCTTGAGCACAAAACCTAAAGCAAAGTACCTGGGCCTTGAGTTCAAGCCTAAGAATCAGCATTCACCCATCTCAGCCCCCCCAAAAAAATCAGTATATAGATTCCAGCTTCAGCTTCAGAGAATGTGTTCTTGGACTTCTTGTCAAATAATGTTGGCCTTAGATTCTGGTGATAACTAAAGATGACTTAACTGATAGGTTACAAAGTATTCTTGACACAAAGTATTACATAAGTTACAAAGTATTCATAACTCTATATCGTGAGGTAGATGTGAGACAGGAGATAGTGCTGTTTTCAAGTTGGTTCAGCAAATGTGGGGAGGAAGAGCACAAGAGAAGAGGAGCCTGACAGAGTCTTTGTTTCTTAGCATTTTATCCTCAAGAGTTTTGTGATCTATGAAGAGGCTAGCTGGTCTTAACCCTGTTGAACGTTTTTCTGTTACATCAGATTTGGTCCGACTGGCCTTCACAAAGGTTTCTGAACAAACTTTCGACAAGTTTTTCAACCTCCACCGAACTACCAAGGTAAATCCAATTTTTTTAAACTAAGAGTAAATAAGTCTGACTATAGAGACTTCTTCAATTTTATTTTCCTTTTTTTGGTAATGAGACTTGAATTCAGGGCACTAGGTGGGTGCTCCACTGCTGAGCCAAGCCTCCAGCCTCGATTTCTTGGACAGCAACCATCTGAAGGTTCTTGTGGGTATTTAGAGAAAGAAATATTGAAGCTCACTAGAGAATCTTACAGATGCAGCTGCCAGAACGTTGTGGTCAACACAGTGAGAGAGACCAGAGAGACAGAGACAGGGAAACAGAGAGAAAATACAGAGACCATGTTTGCCCTCATCAGGAGAGTGAGGACACGGGGAGAAAATGGCCCCGACACTCAGGGAGGAAGCCAGTGTCACAAGGTCATCTGTGTCGTGTGGAGAGAGAGCCAGGGGAGGAGACCCCCTTCCCACCTCCCAGCCGGGGACAGGCTGGCCTTGCCCATGCTGTTCACCTGGCCATGGGGCCCCCAGCACAGGTGGGGCAATGGCTCTGCCACACTGCAGCCAGGAGCCACGAGTGGGCTGTTTCCCAGCAGGTGTCCTTGAAGTGAATCTAGTAAGATGTGGTGGAGGAGGAGCACGGTTGCAGGACAAGGTGGCCCAGCAGGGCCTGTGGCCAGGACAGGGTGAGGGTTGAGCTCCCTGACTCTCCAAAGCCCAGAGCACAGTGGGAACTGGGCATACCAGCCTGCACTATGGCCCTTCTCCTCCGTGTGCACACAGGAGCACCCCAGCCTGCACCGGGTCTCTTCTTCTCCATGTGCACAGGTAGCCATGTCAGCCTGCGCTGAGTCCCTTCTCCTCCATGTGCACAGATAGCCATGTCAGCCTGCACTAGGTCCCTTCTCCTCCATGTGCACAGGTAGCCATGTCAGCCTGCATGGGTTCTTTCTCCCTGTGCACACATGGACACACCAGCCTACACTGGGTCCTTTCTTGTCCCTCTCCCTGAGCTTGCTCAGTGGACCTCATTCCTCTGCTCAGACATCAAAGCTCAGAGTTGCCTGGAGTTCTGATCCCCGGCTGGAGAGGGTCCCCAGTGGGAGAAGCCAGCAAGTAGCATTTCCTAAGGAAATGGTGGGCTTCCTTCTCATGGGATGACCCTGTGGGCTTGCTGGGGACCTGGGTTCTCTGTCCTGGCGTTTGCTTCACATGGGACATTCACTCATGATTCTCTTATTCCCACAGAACAAAATTGAAGACATCAGATCAGAGCAAGAAAAAGCTGCTGAGGAGTCCATTCGACTCCACTTCCAGATGGAGCAGATTGTCTACTGCCAGGACCAGGTGTACAGAACAACGCTGACCAAAGTCAGAGAGGAGGAGGAGAAAGAGAAGGAGAAACAAAAGAAATTACTGCACTTTAACAAACAGCAGTCCGAAGCATCCATGGCAGAAATCTTGCAGCACCTGAGCGCCTACCATCAGGTGTGTATGCAAATGCAGCAGACCCAGGGCCGGTCCTTTCCTAAGCCTTTGTGTTTAACGTTGTCCAGTCTATAGTAAGTCTGTAGTATGGCCATAAGCCAGTTCTGTCCCCCAGTGCTGAAGTGGCTCCAGGGGCAGCTGTGGCTTAGAGCCAGTGGCTTTGCCTGGCTGTGTGACTATAGCTGAGTGACGGACCAGTGACTTCCTTGTGAAATGTAGTCTTGCTGTGAGATTGCCCCAGAGGAGCATGGGCGAGTCTGGGTACCAGGTGCTGCTCAGGTGCTGCCCAGGTGAGACTCAGGTGGGATCCAGCTGGATAGGTGTTGCTCATGTCTACTCACCTGAGCACACGAGCATGGCCAGGGTGGGACACGGGACATGGGAGTGAATGGACAGGAGCCCCTGGCGATCTTCCGGCTTGGCTGCTGGGAGCTGGGCTGTCCATCTGGGCCTTGCACACAGGCCCCTGGTCTCTCATGGCAGATCTGGGCTGCACCTTGCTAATGGCACCCAGGGTTGGCCTGGTCTTCCAGGGGTGGATAGTGAGGCCTTAATGGAGGATCCAGCTCTGCTGAGTACGATGAGGCCAGGGGAGGGAGGTCAGAGCCCCAGGGCCCCACCCAGGGACCGCCTCCGTTTTAGAGAAGACAAGGCCCACACAGCTATGAAACCCACAAGGAGCATGGCTGACCATGGACGGGAATGTCCACTAACCCCATCTGAGCCATATGGCGCACCTTAGAACAGCCTTCCCTGGGTCTTTCATCTGGTCCCATGTCATTGCACAGGGACCCGAGCCCCCATGAGCCTCCACGTTGCTATTCTCATGTGCAGGTGAGAGGCTGCATGTTGCTGTGCCTGCTCCCTGCTCTTTTCCTTGGAGCCGCTTGGGCTCAGGTGGTTGTGACAATAGAGCACTTTGTGGTCCTCTGTAAGGGTCATTTTGGCTTCCAGTCATCAGCTTCCATAGCCTACTGTGGGGTAGCCTCTAAGCAGAACTGGCAGGACAGGAGACCCCTGGCGCTCTAGGCCAACAGGACCTCTGGGAGCCAGCTGTACTGAAGTGCGCGGCTTTTGGGGACATAAGTGGTCGCCTCCACGCAGAACACTGGGCCACCTCTGATGTCAGGCAGTGCCCAGTCCCCTGGGTCATCCTCCACACTAGCCTTTAGCCTTCCTTGGCATCTCTGGGCCTTTGACATCTTCCTGGGACTTTTCCCGGGGCTTGTGGGGTGACAGTGACGTCACTTGCAGTCCCACCCTGCAAACTCTGCACAAGCCGAGCTCCTTGCAGGCAAGGTGAGAGGCCCAAGGCCTTTGTGATGGGAGACAAGGCCGTGCAGCATGTGCTCTGCCCGCAGCTGTGTCTGGGCTGGTTCTAGAGCAGGCTGACAGGCTCTGGATCATGGGCTTGACTTGCTTGTCATTTCTGTTTGGACTTGAGGAATTTTTATTTTTCATCATCTATTGCCAAGACTGATGGTCAGCAGTGTGTACGTGATCTATCAATTCAGTTTTTTACTCTACCAGGCCCAGGGGGTGGCAGATGGTTCCATCTAGAAGAACCTGTTTTCCCCACAGAGGCTCGGGGTCACCCCAGCCTCCCTCTGCACTTTACACAAGGTGCTGCTCTGAGGAGCCTCTCCTCCTCAGGTCAGCGTGATCACATGACAGTGACCTGCGTGGCCCCCGCTGCTCTGCTCCTGTCTTCTTTCCGCAGTGTGCCACAATGTGGGGACATTAAGAATCTTTCTGTTGCTCTACAGCCTTCGCTACCACGCAACTCCAGACCTTTTGATCTTCCCTGGCTCTGCAGCCTCCTAAACCACCATTGTCCTCTGTTTATAAATCTGAGAATGCAGGGGTCTCCTTTGGGTGGAGTCACAGTACTCGTCCTGTTGTCTCTGAGTACAATGGCCTCTGTTTCTGGTTCTCATCTCTGCGTGAGTTCTTCCAGTGCTGGTGTCTTAGGGTGCATTGGATCGGTGAAGACCCAAGGGACCATGTGTCCCAGAGAAGAACGGGTCACAGAGAGTTAGCAGGACTTGTGGTGCGTCCCTGCAGCTCACCTTGTAGAGATCATTCTAGAGGGGCTGACAGTAGCCTGGGAGGGAGACACGACAGTGAAACTCACCTTCCACACATGGACTCAGCCCCACCTATGGCTCTGCTGCAAGGAGCGGGAGGCTGATGGAGAAAGAAGGTGGAAGATCTCCATGCAGGGAGTGGTTTGGCAATGCCATGAGGGGCGGAGTGCATCTGCTGCCCATTTTAGAGCACCTCCTCTTCCAGCAGCGAAGTTGGGGAACAGAGGCCAGCTCACTCCCTAACTCCAACACAGAGGACGCTGCTGCCAGCCAACACCACACCACACATTGCTCCATGACCATCTGCCCCCTGCCCCCGCTGGCGAGCTCATTCCCCGCCTTGAACTTTGCTCTCCCCCTTCCGTCCAGGAGGTCCACAGCCGCATGTCCAGCCACATCCCGCTGATCATCCAGTACTTCGTCCTGCAGACGTTCGGCCAGCAGCTGCAGAAGGCCATGCTGCTGCTCCTGCAGGACAAGGAGGCCTGCGGCTGGCTTCTGAAGGAGCGCAGAGACACCAGCGAGAAGAGGAAGTTCCTGAGGGAACGGCTGGCAAGGCTGGCACAGGCTCGCTGCCTGCTCTCCAAATTCCCTGGTTAAGCGGGCACTGTCCATCCCCAGGGGTCCTCAGCAGGACTCCAGGGCGAGGAGACTGCCTGACTCTCCTGATGGCAGCGCCATGATAATCAGCAGTGAGATGCAGGGCTGGAAGGCACCATGGAGCCCATGGAGCAGGATGGCCTCCAGCAGGGGGCGCCACCCTGTAGCGCTGGCCTGGGGGAGGCTGAGCCATCCTGATGGACACAGGCCTCACCCTGTCACCCTCATCCCCTTGTTCTCTTGTGCTACACTTTGTCATGTGACCACACTCCACTGCCCCTGTGACTTCTTGTTTAGTAGCAGTTGGCCTCCATGGTTGCCTATGGGGCTTGTGTCATCTGGTCCTAATAAAACATTTCTATCCTTCCCTGACTCTCTTTGTATTGGGATTGGAGGTGGCCCTAAAGGAAAGGCCAGGTGGGCACTGAGGCCACCTTTCTGGGGCTGAGTCCAGAAAGAGGACAGAAGGATAGGAGTGGTGTGGTGAAGCACGGGGAAGCGGCCCCCACTGTGGAAGGCAGGGCGGGCGGCACCATCGCCTCCTCCATGCTGGTGGCCCCTGACCTGGTTCACACCGGGTCCTGGCCTGCCGGTGAGGAGGAGCTATCCAGAGCCGAGGCGGCGGGAGGGGTCTTCACGCAAGCTCAGCACCTGAGTGACAAGCCATGGATACGCATCAGGGGCCAGACGGCACCAGCAGAAACATGGTGGAGCCCCATGGCTCTCCTTCATGGGGCCTGCAGGAAGAGACCAGGGGTCCCTTCTCACCTCAGCCCAATCCACCCTAGGGCAGGGCCTTCTTCCTCTGAGGCCACGCCTCCTGGAGGGCAGATCATGGGGTGGGGCTCAGGATGGATGGGCATGTCCTGGATATGAGACACTCCTGAGCTCACAAGAACATTCCAGAGACAGGAGGTGAGGACCAGGCACGGAGGAGGGGCCTGCCCTAGGGAGACGGGCTGGACAGAACAGTCCTTTCTGCAGAGATGCCAGGAATGTGGTGATCAGGCCTTGCCCTGCCCTTCCAGGCCGTGCTGGCTTCCGGCCACGCTGGACAGGGTCCCAATGGGGGCGGGGCTGGCCTGACCACTGAGGCTGTCCCCTCCCCTGCACACCTCACCCCACGTCTCTTCTGACCTGTGGACCTGGATGATCCTTAATCCTCAGGACACTTCCAGAGAGAGAGGAAGGCAGGCGGACAGCATGCTGGGCACACGTCCAGGTCCACCGCTGCCCCTGGGGCCTTGTGTGTGAGCCAGGGACCGGCCACACCCGCTCTGCACTCTGACCTGGAGCTCCCAGAGGCTCCCAGTGCAGTTCAGCCACAGGGAAAACGAGATCTCAAATAAAGGATTCTGGGAGAATGCGACCTATGTAAACTTTGGCCTGGAGTAGCCGCTCTAAGTCCCCAGCAGACACAGCCCTGCCTTCTCTAGATCTATCCTTGGCCGGCCTTGAAGCAGGACATTCAATGGGCAGTGCCATCCTGTGGCTTCCCCCGCCCGGCACCCTGCCCAGACTCAACCCTCAACAGTCTTCCAAGATTCTAAGGCTCGGGCCCAGCAGTGGAAGCAGAGGCACCATGCGTTGCATGGACGCTTCTGTGCTATGTTCCTCTCCCCAGTGATAGAAGGGAGCTGGGTCTGTGCTCCAGAGAAGGGGCTCACCTGGGGTGCACCTGCTGTGAACATCATCATGCCCCCCCACCATGGACAAGTGTGCAGCTCAGTGGACCCCACTGAAAGGGGCTGAGTTTGGAGCAAGGCAAGGAAGGGACCAGAAAGCTGAACCCCTGAGGTCGGGGGTACCTGGCAGGACGCAGACCCTCCGGAGCCTGGCAGGCCACAGGCTCTTCCATCTGTGACAGGAGAGACAGGAGGCTGCGGTGAGGGCTTTGTCCAAAGACTTTCCCGATGTGGCTCTTCCTCAGACGCTGGTCCAATTCTGCCCTCAGTATGACTCAGCATGGTGCTTCTCACCCAGAGAGCCAAACGCCGTCACCGAGTGGGCGGACAGCAAGGCAGGTTTGGCCTCAGGTAGGAAGTGGGTCCCAGGGCAGCCCTCCACAGGGGAGGCGCAGCCTCAGAGGCCAGCACTGGGTGGGTCAGGTGTGTGGATTCCCTGACAGGGAGAAGACCTGCTGTCTACATGGTGCCCAGCGTCAGAGAGCTCTGGGGGTCTGCACCCTCCCCACAGAGGATGCCAGTTATTCCCAGGGTGTCAGGGTTCTGCCAGCAGCACCTGTGGTGGGTCCATGTCACAGGGGAAGGGCCCTGAGGTCTCTGATGTCCACGCACGGCCCCAGGATTTCTCTCCAGCACAGCACATGGACGTGAACTTGGGTGACGCCACCTCACGGAGCCCCTCTCTGTGTGCTGTGCCTGGATGGAGCCTCCTTTGGGACTTCAAAGGCTGGATTCTTTGAAGCTGGCTCTAGGGCCCACACTTGCTCTGAAGGGCTCTGAAATCAGAGGGGAGCAGGGAGCCAGGGAGCTAACCTGAGGCAGAGTTCTAGGCAGAGTCCCTTAGGACTCAGCCAGGAGTGATCCCTATGCCCATGTCCCCCTGGGCACCATGCAGCTAGAGATAGCACCAAGTCTAAGCTTTCCTCTAAGATTCATTTATAGCAAGCAACTTCAATTGTGTCATTCCTGAATGACAAATGGCATGTGTTCAAGTGCACAGACCTAGTTATCTCTCTGCTCTCTGGCTGAAAGATGAAAACATCCCCTTCCAATAAAATCACTACACTTAAACTATTTTGAAGATGTACATGTAAGATTTTCAACTGCTTTGGTCATGTGCGCACCTAGCAAATTGTTTTCTCCCCCATTTTCCCCAACTCTAGGCTTATAAATGACCCACGTACTAAAGGTTACGTGTGACAAGCTCAGAGGCCAAGGTGTGGACAGAACAGGGGAATCGGGATGTGTGACCCCCGGTGTCCATCCCTGCCGCTGCCAGCAGGTGGCGCTCCCCTTCCTGTTCCAGTGAGAGGAGTGTGCCCTGGGTTTGCATTCTTGCCCCTCGGTGGTCATTGGGGAGTTTCATTGGGTCCTAGAGCTGTCTGCAGACCAACAAGCAGAAGTGTGCGATGGGAAATGGCTTAGACTCGCTTCCTTCAGGCTGAGCAACAGGCCTGCTGGGCATAAGTTCAACGTTCAAGCAGGGGGTGAGGCTAGACACATACTCCCAAGACGCCGAGCAGGGTGGCAGAGAGAGGTGCCCGCCTCTGCCCCTCCTCCACCAGCACTGGCGTCTGCCACCATGAGCCAATGGGACCACAGGAAGAGACCCACAGGACCCCGATGCCGGCATGGGCTTCAGTCATTCTGGGGGAAGCCAGGGTGAGCCTCCTGCAGGCGTCGATGGAGGGTCACGTCCCCCGGAAAGCAGGGCCAGGCAGGGGTCTGCCATCCTCACTCGGCTGGACAGATGCTCCAACCAGCACCCACCTGGGCCCCACCAGGCTGCAGCCCGCACGCCAGCAGCAGCAGCCCGGCTCTGCCCGCCACACACAACGCAAAGACTCCAGAATGCTGGCAACATGTTCACTTTATTCAGCGTACGGCAGACAGGAGCTGTGGTGACAGCGCGGGACAAGTATGTCTCCTCTGTGACGGGGTGCTGACCCCAGAGAAGACACACATGCGGGGCAGCCTGGGCCTGGGGTAGAGCTCCTGCCCCCGGGTGCAACCCCAGCATGGCCTCCCCTTACCATGAGCTGGGGGGCCGGGGAGGGGAGGGGCCACAGGTGGAGCGGCTCAGGACTCGCACTGGGCAATGACACACAACCTCATCTTGGTAGGAACCAGGATGTGTAGGACTGCGCCCCGACCAACCCACACGCTTCTCATCTGTGCCCCAGCCTCCGCCTTTCTTCTTCCAGTGCTCTGCACACCTTGGAAGTGCGGAGCCAAGCACAGTACAGAGGTCACGTGTCCACTGTGTGCGCTCTGCCCAGAAAGGATGAAGTTTCAAAGGCCCTAAGCAGGTGAGCTTCATAAAGACATCCAAAGTCGGGGTTCAGGAGCCCCGGTTAGTAAGAGGAAATCCAGGCCCTAATTATGGCCTCTGCCCCACGCATCCCTGAGTCCCTGGGGACCGGCCTCGGTGAGGTAGGCCGTCTGCCAGGGCCAAGGGGTGAGTGCAGCATTTGAGGGGCCCAGCAGGGGTGCAGGAGGCCTGCGGCCGAGCTGGGTGTCCCCTCGGGGAACGACCCGAGGAGCCATGGGCCATGGGCCCCTCTGCACCACCACTGCTCTCAGGATTCTACCTGAGCCCTCAGCACCCCCAGGGGGAAGGAAAAGCATGTGCTCACGCCTGTCATCCTTGCTACTCAGGAGGCTGCAGTCCCAGGTTCATCGTTTGAAGCCAGCCTGAACAGGAAAATCTGTGAGACTCTTCCATTAACCAGCAAAAAGCTGGAAGTAGAAGTGTGGCTCAAAGTAGGAGAGCACCAGCCTTGACCAAGCCCTGAGTTCAAGCCCTAGTACTGGCACAAAAAGGAGGCATTCCAATCTTTCTGTGACTGCCCATGAGGGGCTGGGCTCTCCTTCGTTTCCAGTCCATGTCCACAGAGGCTGCGAGGAAGGCTTCAAACTAGACAAGCCCCGAATGCATGTGGAGAGCCAGGCCAGGGGCCGCCCGCCAGGTGGCCCTCCACCGCCTCTTCCCTCCCTCTCTGATCAGCCCAGAGACCGCCTCCAAGCCCATCTCCACACGGGCTCCGCAGGAAGAGCAGCGGAGCAGGGCCCTGCGGCCCCCGTGCAAGGCCTGGACGAGCGGCCCTGAGCGGGTACAGGACTGGGACAGTACAGTCAGACAAGTGATTGTTTAATAAAAGTGAAAGGACCTTCGAATCACCTCCACAGGACTCGAGTGCGGAGCCAGTTCAGGTCAGCCCCTTCTTCGCTGTGGGCGGGTGTCTGTGGAGCCAGGGCCTGGGGATCAGCTGTTTGCCTGTTCAGACAGGGAAAGAAATGCTGTCACATCTTCAGGCCGATGAGGGCAGCGAGTGAGTGGGTGGAGGGAGGACTGGGCTTGGCCCCGGTGGCCTGGGGATGCACTGGTGACCCTGCCCTCGGCCTTCTCCTCCCTTGCACCATGGAGCTGCCTGCGCGGCTGCAGCCGTTCCCTGCCTCCTGCTTCTCGGGATGGCCAGGCTCCTGCTGCTAGTCCCTTGCTTAGCCGGGTGGTGAGGGGACCGCTCTGGGCCCTGCGTCATTCGAGGGACACAGTCAGGCCTTGTGCAAGGGACTTGATCCGGCCCTTCCACAGATGTGAGACTTGACCTGAATCTATCTCCCCAGGGCCCTGTCCTGGGCGAGGGCGGGGTCTGATCTGCAGACACTCAGAGGAAGTTCTATTCTGAGAAGACGTGAGTAGTGGCCAGCATGGATGGGGAGGCAGGTGGGAGGAGGAGGGAAGC